GTGGTGGTGGCGGTGGTGGCGGTGATGGTGGCAGTGGTGGTGGTGGGGGTGGTGGTGGTGGTGGCGGTGGCGGTGGTGGCGGTGGTGGTGGCGGTGGTGGGGGTGGTGGTGGCGGTGGTGGTGGCGGTGGTGCCTTTACCCTGCGCATTCTCCACTCCCAGCCTCTTATTGTCATCACCAAGGCTTCTCCACTGCTGGATGGAAGATCAATGTGATGGTGATGATGTCTCTACCCTCTAATCCACGTGTTCCTCTCTGTCTCTACCCTGGGGGATCTCTCATCCACGTGAGAAGAGGGTTTCCCCTTTTTTCTGGCAACAAAACAGCTGTGTTCAGATGTTGAAACACCAAACTGAAACCTTTAACGAGGAATCACGTCACTGCATTAACCACAATACCTGTGGTCAGAATGCAAACAAACAACATCCTCTGATAATATTTCCATCGTCCTTGACACTGATCCCCGTGTTCCTGATCCACGTGTTCCTGATCCCCGTGTTCCTGATCCACGTGTTCCTAACCCACGTGTTCATGATGTACGTGTTCCAGGTCCACGTGTTCCTGATCCACGTGTTCCTGACCCACGCGTTCATGACCCACGCGTTCCTGATCTACGTGTTCCTGACCCATGTGTTCCTGATCCACGTGTTCCTGACCCACGTGTTCATGACCCACGTGTTCCTGATCCACGTGTTCCAGGTCCACGTGTTCCTGACCCACGTGTTCCTGATCCACGTGTTCCTGACCCACGTGTTCCTGATCCACGTGTTCCTGATCCACGTGTTCCTGACCCACGTGTTCATGACCCACGTGTTCCTGATCCACGTGTTCCAGGTCCACGTGTTCCTGACCCACGTGTTCCTGACCCACGTGTTCCTGACCCACGTGTTCATGACCCACGTGTTCCTGATCCACGTGTTCGATCCACGTGTTCATGACCCACGTGTTCCTGACCCACGTGTTCCTGATCCACGTGTTCCTGGCCCACGTGTTCCTGACCCACGTGTTCCTGATCAACTTGTTCCTGACCCACGTGTTCCTGATCCACGTGTTCCTGATCCACGTGTTCCTGATCCACGTGTTCTTGATCCACGTGTTCCTGATCCACGTGTTCCTGATCCACGTGTTCCTGACCCACGTGTTCCTGATCCACGTGTTCCTGATCCACGTGTTCCTGACCCACGTGTTCCTGATCCACGTGTTCCTGATCCACGTGTTCCTGATCCACTTGTTCCTGATCCACGTGTTCCTGATCCACGTGTTCCTGATCCACGTGTTCCTGATCCACGTGTTCCTGATCCACTTGTTCCTGATCCACGTGTTCCTGATCCACGTGTTCCTGATCCACGTGTTCCTGATCCACGTGTTCCTGACCCACGTGTTCCTGATCCACTTGTTCCTGATCCACGTGTTCCTGATCCACGTGTTCCTGACCCACGTGTTCCTGATCCACGTGTTTCTGACCCACGTGTTCCTGACCCACGTGTTCCTGACCCACGTGTTCCTGATCCACGTGTTCCTGATCCACTTGTTCCTGACGTACGTGTTCCTGACCCACGTGTTCCTGATCCACGTGTTCCTGATCCACTTGTTCCTGATCCACTTGTTCCTGACCCACGTGTTCCTGACCCACGTGTTCCTGACCCACGTGTTCCTGATCCACGTGTTCCTGACCCACGTGTTCCTGACGTACGTGTTCCTGACCCACGTGTTCCTGATCCACGTGTTCCTGATCCACGTGTTCCTGATCCACTTGTTCCTGACCCACGTGTTCCTGACCCACGTGTTCCTGACCCACGTGTTCCTGATCCACGTGTTCCTGACCCACGTGTTCCTGACGTACGTGTTCCTGACCCACGTGTTCCTGATCCACGTGTTCCTGACCCACGTGTTCCTGACGTACGTGTTCCTGATCCACGTGTTCCTGACCCACGTGTTCCTGACGTACGTGTTTCTGATCCACGTGTTCCTGACGTACGTGTTCCTGACCCACGTGTTCCTGATCCACGTGTTCCTGACGTACGTGTTCCTGACCCACGTGTTCCTGATCCACGTGTTCCTGACGTACGTGTTCCTGATCCACGTGTTCCTGACCCACGTGTTCCTGATCCACGTGTTCCTGACCCACGTGTTCCTGATCCACTTGTTCCTGATCCACGTGTTCCTGATCCACGTGTTCCTGACCCACGTGTTCCTGATCCACGTGTTCCTGACGTACGTGTTCCTGATCCACTTGTTCCTGACCCACGTGTTCCTGACCCACGTGTTCCTGACCCACGTGTTCCTGATCCACGTGTTCCTGACCCACGTGTTCCTGACCCACGTGTTCCTGACCCACGTGTTCCTGACCCACGTGTTCCTGACCCACGTGTTCCTGACCCACGTGTTCCTGACCCACGTGTTCCGACCCACGTGTTCCTGACCCACGTGTTCCTGACCCACGTGTTCCTGACCCACGTGTTCCCCCGTGTTCCTGATCCACGTGTTCCTGACCCACGTG